ACTCACCTCAGCCTCCCAAAGGCGCGGGATTACAGGCTGAGCCACCAAGCCTGGCTGAGCAGCAGCTGTTTTTGACTTGGGCCCTCCACCAATCCAGTCCCATTCTCTGAGAGGCCCTAGCATCACCCAGTCCTCGGCCTCAGCTGCATTCCAGTCTTGCCTCACCCAGAGGCCAGCAGGGAGGAGAACTATTCGGTGAGGCAGTTTTCATGCTTCTAGGCCCCTGGCTTCGTCCCCTGATAACAGAAGGCCTCAGAGAAACTCCCATCCTCTCCCCTCTTGTATGAACTCTTGGCAGGAGACTGCAAAGACATCTGCTGACCCAGGGTGGGGGCAGAGATGGTTCCTGATCCCGCCCAGTCCCGCAGCCCTGCCCCAGAAGCCCTGGTGATCAGGAAGGGAAGGTTCAGAAGATCCCTGGGCTGCCTTAGTCCAGCCCAGCAACTTGGGTTCCCCTACTGCTTCCCCACGGTTCCCCACTCTTTCCTGAGTTCTTTTATTGCCTCTAGAAGTTGCTGCCTCTAAGAGGTCCAGAGAGTGAATGTGTTAGGATGACCTGGGGCCAGAGATGGGAAGCTGGGAATATCTGTCCCCTGGGACCAGAGGCTGGGCTTGGCAGACAGGCTTACACCAGAATGGGGACCAAATGGTTCAAAGGCGTCTTTGGACTTCATGTCCAGGGAGCTCTGGTCGATCAACCTAGCTGTAGGAGAGAGGTCAGGGTGAAAGTGGGTCTTCATGGTATGATGGGCCAAGCAGGAGTCCAGGTTCAGGTGCCAGCTCCGGTATTAACTCATGATATGACCTTGGGCAAACCATTTCTATGTTCTGTAACATGGGAGCGCTGGTCTAGTGGATCCATCAGGTCCTTTTCTGGTGCTATGACGATTAGGCCAGGAGAGAATCAGGGGACTGAGGCTGAGGGCCCTCAGGCTTCTTTTATTTTTTTCTTCTTTTGAGTCAGCATCTCACTGTGATGCCCAGGCTGGAGTGCAGTGGCATGCTCACAGCCACCTCAGCCACATCCTGCTGGGCTCAGGCGATCTTTCCACCTCAGCCTTCCAAGTAACTGGAACCATAGGCACGCACCACCACGCTGGCTAATTTTTTTGATTTATTGTAGAGATGAGGTCTCACCAAGTTGACCAGGCTAGTCTCCAACCCCTGGACTCAGGCAATCCTCTGACCTCCGCCTCCCAGAGTGCTGGGCTTACAGGCATGAGCCACTACACCTGGCTCTTTTTTGTTGGGTTTTTTTTGTTGTTGTTGTTGTTTTTAGTCGGACTCTCACTTCACCACCCAGCCTCACCACAGCCTCGACCTCCTGGGTTCAGGCTACCCTTCTGCCTCAGCCTCCCGAGTAGGTGAGACTACAAACATGCACCACCACACCCAGCTAATTTGCTTATATTATATATTTTTTGTATAGACAAGGTCTCACTGTGTTACCCAGGCTGATCTTGAACTCCTGGGCTCAAGCAATCCTCCTCCCTTGACCTCCCAAAGTGTTGAGATTATAGGTGTGAGTCACCACACTGGGCCACTCAGGCTTACTGAGGGATGGGAGAAAGCACTGGGGACCTTGGTTCAACACAGATGATGCCAGTGTGGGGAGGTGATGGGCATGAGCTGGTTCTGGGGTCCTTGGCTCACCCCAGCCTGCTTCCACAGATGGACCCTGTACAGAAGGCTGTGCTCTCCCACACTTTTGGGGGACCCTTGCTCAAGACCAAGCGGCCGGTCATTTCCTGTAACGTCTGTCAGATTCGCTTCAATTCTCAGGTAAGAAGCCCAACTGTTCATCCGCCCTGTGGGTCCAGGGGACCTTGAGAGAGGGCAGAGGCTGGGTAAACGGGCTTCCTCTGGGTGGGGGGCAGGGATTAAGGGGATACTAGGGGAAGAACAGGAAATGGGGATACTGCAGGCGGGACAGGGGCTGGTAGAAAGCTCTTGAGAGGAACAAGAAGCTACACCAGGCGCGGTGGTTCACACCTGTAATCCCAGCACTTTGGGAGGTGGAGGTGAAGGCGAGAGGATTTCCTGAGCCCACGGGTTCGAGACCAGCCTGGGCAACATGGCGAGACCTCATCTCTATAATAAATCAAAAAATTAGCCAGGTGTGGTGGCTCATACCTGTAGTTCCAGCTCCTTGGAAGACTGAGGGGGAAGGATCCTCTGAGCCCAGCACTAAGTCTGCAATGGCCATGAACATGTCACTGCACTCAAACCTGGGCAACACAGTGAGACTCCAACTCACAAAAAAATTATGATGCTGTGTATGTTGACATAAGTACATTCAGCCTCTGAGGCTGCCCCTGCCCCACCTTGGGACTTGGGCATCCCTGACCTAGTGCTTCTTGGAACATCGGTGGCCATCAGTGTCTGGGTGAGAGCGTGGCTTCTGGCCCAGAGTCCATGGGCACCCAGCTGAGTTAGGTCATCAGCTCCACCACAGAGCCTCTGTCCTCTTTGGCCTTGCTAAGCTCCTCCCCGACCCACCCACTTCCCTCTGCCTCCTGGCCTCCCCCTCTCTCTACCTCATTTCTACTCTCCTCTATCCAAATCACACACAAGGCCTGGCCTCCACTCCCTTCCCATGGGATTTCCCCAAGGGGAGAAGCCACCCGGAACCCAGATGTCCAGCCTCCCAGATGTCCTCCCTCTGAGACTCCACTGAGAGTCTGTGGGTCTTCTGTGTGGACCTAGAGGGGACTTTGTGGGGTGGAGGCTCTGAGAGCTTTTGGAGAAAAACAGCCAAGCCTCGTTCTGCTGAGTAGGGGAAAATAAAAGCATGTTCTGTTTCTCTACATAGTACACATACACACACACACACACACACACACACACACACACACACTCCCTGCTGCTGGGCTTTGCACACCACTACCCTACCCCTGAGCTGTCAATCTGCTTTTCCTGCTTTCCATCTTTTCACTTCTATCCTTGTGCAGGTGACCTTGTGCCTGGAGGATTGTGCATTCCTAGCAGGGGGTGCACATAGGAGTGGAGGGGGGTGGGGAGGTGGGGCCAGGACCAAGGCCAGCATGAGACCTCTCCTCTAGCCTGGACCCTGGGCATCCTCTCTACAGACCTGCTCCACTCACGGGTGAAGGGTGGAAGGCTCGGGGGCGGAGAGTCAATAGCAGACAGCCCTTCCATCTTTTTGCCCTCCCCTTTCCTCCCCCACCAAGTGGCTCTGTTTTGACAGCTGTCTCTGCTGCTGTCTCTGTCCCCAGAGCTGGGCTTGGGGCCAGGGTCCTCCAGGGTGTCCACAGAGGCTCCAGGGAAAATGAAACCCTGGGGAGAGAAGTCAGGATAGAACCCAGGCATCAGAGGTCTTGGAACTCCCAGCCCAAGGGTGGAAGCTGCAAAGACTGGAGCCTGGGCCTGGGATGGGGGTGGCCATGAGGCTTAGGGTCTGAAAGGATGCTGACTGGCAGGGCTGCCAGGTCTCTCCCCATTTAGAATTCTTCCACAGGTTTGGGGTTCTCCTCCCTCCACCCAGGACCGGGCGAGGGGCCTGAGTCAGCAGCCAGGCCCTGGGTGTGGTGGCGGGTGGAGCCAGGCTAGGTGGGGACCTAGGTTCCCAGCAGAATAGCCAGGGTTTGTTGTGGTGGTGGGTCTGAGCCCCAGGAATAACCAGGGCTTGTTGGCATGGGGCCTTACGTCTCGCTGGTGAAGGGAAAGACTCACTGTAGCCTGCTGAGACCACCCAGGACCTGAAGCTCTGTGGGGAGACCAGGCTGATGAAAAGTGATCTCAGATTCCATTCTCCCCGCCCCTACAGAGCCAGGCTGAGGCGCACTACAAGGGCAACCGCCATGCCCGAAGAGTCAAGGGCATTGAGGCCGCCAAGACTCGAGGCAGGGAGCCCGGCGTCCGGGAACCTGGAGACCCAGCCCCGCCAGGCAGCACCCCCCCAAGCGGGGATGGCGTAGCACCCCGCCCAGGTGTGTCTGAATCCCCTCCCAGTCTTCAGCTAATCTCTGTCTTTTCTGTTCTCTCCCCACTTCCCAGAACTCTCCTCTACTTCTGTCTCTCTCTTCCTCAGTCCCCACCCCCACCCCCACCCAAGGTGAGTCCTGTTGCCAAGCACAGTGATGTAAAATTTCCATCCTGTCACCCCCACCCGCCCCTGCCACAGTTCCACTCCACAGAGTCCTTACTGTCTTCCCAGCTGCCCAGTGACTCAGAGAGGGGCTAGGGTGAGGCCACCTGGCAAAGCTCCCCAAGAAAAAGAGAACCATCCGATTCAAAGAGAGACGTCTTCATCTCAGGGAGAGGGGCAGGGAGGGCATTGGGAATATCTGAGAGCCTGTCCTGCTGGGGCTTCCCTTGAGGAAGACGGAGAGTCCATAAAACCCAGGCAACTCCCCAGACGATCTTAGGTAGACCTTTGACCTCCCTGGGCCAGAGTTTTCTTTCCTGGGAAATAGAGGAGTGGGATTTCATGATCTTGGAGGTCTTTTCCAGGCTTACAAAAAGCAACTCTGAGATTCTCTTTCCCCCATGGCTGGTGGCCATCCTCAACCATACTTCCAGCCAAAAATCTGGAAGGAGGGACTACCAAGACAGGAAGCCATGAGCCACCCCAGCCTGGGATTGCCACATCAGATGTCCATCGTGGCCAACTCCAGGGAGACCTAACATTCCATGTTCCTCCTTATCCTTGTCTGTCCTTCCTGCCCCGCCCTGGGAAGAATGAGGAACAAGCACGTGCACCACAAGCTCAGGAACCAGGCCCCATTCTCACCAAACACACACACACACACACACACACACACACACACACACACACGC